AAAAACACATGAAGCGTTGAATGAACGGTATTTCTGACTTGCTGAACGCTTTTTGGGACTTCAGAGACAGAGATCGAAATTCGGAAGGCAAAAGTTAAGGGAAACAGAAAATAAAACTGCGCTATCTGACAAATGTACATTCGCTTTTTTGATAATCTATGCTCTAATGAAGAAAAGAAGCACATGCCCTGTGAGGCTTGGTTCAAACTTTTGAACAAACCCAAATATCACAACACACAGCAAAACGTGGAAGCTCAATTGTAACTCCTTTTTTTCTCAAATTCGTTCGGTATTGCAGTTTGAGTATTTTTGATGAATCAAATATTATTTTGAGTAATGCTTATTGAATTTTTTCGTTACCAGAAAAGGAAAATCATTTCTTCCTACAGGTACCTGATTCCAATCAATTATTTCAAAAAACTTGTTATTATCGAAAAAGACACATCTTGCAAATGCGTTCCACTTCCAATAATTCATTCTCTTCTGGGGTGTGTCGTTGATTCGGATGCTTAGCAGAGTAAGACACAACGGCAAGCTTTATGAAAACTGTGGTCATTGCCTATTCCCGAGACGTATTCAAACATTTCTAGCATTTAAGGGTAGGTGGGAGACATGGCGTATCTCAGAGGGAAAATTTTGAAGGAACGCTACGAGAACCCTACGTAAGCTGTCGCAGGCATCTCTCCCATAAGTCTGAGACCATCACTGCATCACATCTTCCAGCACACACCTCATCGGACTCAGTTTGACAACACCGTCAATGCACGCGCCATTGAACGCGCCCCTCGTCCCTTCATCGCCACTATTCGTGGACGCCACGGGAAATAGTGTGCTGATTTCAGAGGTTACGATAGTGAAATGAACGGTGATAGATGAACGACGGGTGGACGACGAAAGCGACGCAAACGAACGTCATCACTCTTCGACACCGCTGATTTCAAACACTGCTGTGGAACGGCACTGGCAGCAAACAACTTCGCCGCGACGTCGCCACGCGGCGAATATCGGCCCCCATGAATTCACACAAAAAACGTATTTCATACTCCATCCCGAGCCCCGGTAACAACATAAGTCGTGAGGTTATAGCTTTCGTTTGCTTTGCAACAGTCATCGTTGCCAACCTTTATTTCGATTCAGTTTGGAAATTGATCCTCATAATGACCTCCTTCTACGTCGTCTATCCTGTTCTCAGTAGTAAGAAAGCCCAAATGGGTACCTATTACAAAAAAAGCCGAATCAAGACATGCCAGGGTGCTCATGCCGTTAAGAGGAACATGAAGTGAGTGAGCAACTTACTGAAGTTGGGACTGAGTCCCAGGGGGAGGGGGCGAGGGATTCTGGGGGAAGACGTGACCAACCTTTGTTCTCCCTAACGTTTCTTCCCTCTTCTGGTCTCAGTCTTAGTGTCACCCACCAGCGATTTTTCCCTGACTACTGTTTTAGAAGTCCCTCTAAGGCCATGAGCATTCCCATGCCGAAACTACCGTGGTTTTTTTTTTGCAATCATATTTCTGGAAATACCAAACCATATACCAAAAAAAACCAAACCGAAAAACCATAACCGGATTTGTAAGGACAAAACTCTGGAGTAAGATATTTCTACCCGATCTCCGTCAGTTACTTTGCATTTAAGTCCAAAAAAAGTGTCGCCGTGAAATTTTGAAATCCACGCACTACCCTTCTTCTTCCACTTACCGTCTTTCTTCTTAAAGACGTTTGCTGAATGACAATCCTTTCGCATGTGGGCACGGGGCGATGAGTCTAAAATTTAAAAGTCATATGATTAATTAGTTTATTTTTGAAGGGATTCCAAGTTGTATAAACTAGCTTGTATATAAAACTTCATCCTCAAAACCGTATATAACGGCATGGTAACTAGACACCCTTTCCGCCACGTTAAGCAGCACCTATGGGTTTCGCTTTGGCACTAAGAAAAGCTTGCAAGAGTGGCTATTCTTGCCCAAGCACGACTATTGGATGATCCATAAAGAGCATAAATAATTTTTATACTCGCTTTGCATAGCCCAGCCCCTACTCACTCAGACCTCCATGTAAGTACTCGAGACAGATCCTATTACTGTATTTTTAAAGGCGAGAAGAGAGCATGGCGTGACCTCAATCTGATGCGATCAATGAATTTCCAGCCATATGTCCCTAACAAATTCATATTACATTTATGCAGACCAAACTAGAATGAAGGAACTGAATATAACTCCTAAAACCCCCTACCAACTCATGTTGCGGGGCTTAAGAAGGCCAATTCAGTCCTACTCAGTTCTCTTAACACTTTGGAGACCGCGCGTGTTTTACGTTCCGCGGCCGCGCGGGACTTCGGTGAAATTTTAGGGATCTTATCTAGCAAATTCAAAAGAAGAACCCACTGTGTAATGCAGAAGAAATCTTATCGGATAAAATGGAAAAGAAAATGAATGAAAAACCTAATAATTGTTTACGAAATGCGAGCTGAAAGGTCCTATGCGGTCGGAGGACTGCAGCCCACATATGGGCTGCGTGGGCTCCAAGGTGTTAATTTGGAATGGAGTACTACATAGGCCCTAAATCCTTTTTTCTAAGACTAGATTTTTTACTGTTGCAGGTTTTGATAACCCACGTTTCTGTACGCTCTGCATTATGAGCCAAATATACTCGGAAAAACTTGCAGAACTCCTCAGAAAGAACTAATCTGCACCAGATAGCCACTTCGTATAACTTCGTTAGCTAAACAAAGACACCATACAGAGATGAATTGCTTTGATCTGGCAGCCCTTCATGTCCGCTCGCAAAAGCCTCTGCACTCAAGGATAGCTGTACGTCCACCCAACTCCTATTCAGGCATCAACACCACCTCAGTACGGCTATGATAGCCAGCTAAACTAAAAAAAAACCCCAATATCAAAGTGAACACATGTTCTGAGGTCAACTACTCAAGGAACGGGTCGCCAATGGTGAATACGAGTCATAGCTTCGCTCACCCCCCCCTGTTTCTTACAAGGGACAACTCGTAGCTTCAAACTGCCTCCTAAGTTTACTAAAGGCCGTCAACGACAGGTGTATCTGCAACGGTGGAAACAGATAGCAGCAAATTAGTAACTGGGTCTCGAGTTATCTAAACGCTTCCGAAAGCTGCTAACAAAATCCCACCAAATTCAACCGAATCTCCCCCTAACGAACAGCCTAACAGCCTACTCGCACACAAGGACGCAATCGGGCTATCCGTATTTAGGTGTTATAGGTGGCGATTGAGCCATAGCTAACACGATTGTCTTCTATTCTGTATTTCATACAAAAAACTAAACATAAACATAGATCAAAATCGTGAGACAACACCCCTTGCACCGGCCCAAATCAGCAATTATAGCTTGCGCGGGTCGGTGAATTCTCTCTATCCGGTAGAACACCTGTTACCAAGCTAATCAGCGACAATTCACCCAGAAAAGGCGATTCTGCTAATTTCATTGGACGGATTATCGATTTCCACCCAGGGTCAACCATCACGTTATGTTAATTTCATGATTTTTATGACATTTTTTCTAGGATTTTCCTGGACGACCGCCAAAACGACCCCCCCCCAAGTGTTGATGAGTCAGCCAGAACATTTAGTTAACGCATCGGCTCTCACTAAACATTGCCCCTAAAAATTTCTTGAAATTGTGGCCGAACGGGAGGGGAGTGTTGGAAACGATTGGGTTTTTTTCCCCGAAGAACAGTAACGGTTACAGCAAATTTCCGCATTTCACTGCTAGCACCACGCGAAGCTACCACAAAACGCCTTGATAGGACTAATCAATTCGAAATCATAACACACCCGCCAGATCACATGCATGATGAATCGCTACATCAGAAGTTGACACTGTTTCCACATAGAATTGTGCTTCAAGGGGACCTTTAATTTTTACTACATACTACCAAACAGGTCGTAAGTTACTTCATCTATCAGAGTGAACGTATCCCCTTGATGTCACGGGTGACCGTTTTCAGTTCGCCTGATATTTCATTTTCAAAAAAAAAGGTTAGCATATTTGGGCACGACTACATAGATGGAGTTGGAAACCAACACTTTCGCTGGCTGTACCATGCTTCGCTTGAAAGTAGAAGAGTTAATATCAAGAAGTCTTACTTTGTACCACATAAGATCCTCACACAAAATGTGCATATTGATCAAGCCAAGAATTAGAGCCACATAGGAGCGGCAGTGCCGTCATACGGCCAGTGTCCCATTATGACAAGCATAAGCCCCAGTTACTAACGAAATCATAGCAGCTCGGATGGATCACGTAACTTATCAAGGAGGTACCCAGATTTAGCACAGTTAGAGTCTCGAAAAGTTGGAATGCGCCCAACTTTAGAGTAAACCTTAGCTAGGGTTATGTTTGAGAGCACACCCCCGGTTACCCGCTTCCACCCAACTGATTTCTCTCCGAAACATTCAAAATCAACTACTCGACCCTCCCTTCTTTCTCGAAAACTTCTCTACGCCACAAATGTTTCGTTAATCGTCGTCGAATGCTCTCAACTCGTCTCTTTCGAGCGCTCGCCTCCATCTATCCCCCATATATCCTGTCCCATTTCAGCCAGTCAGCAGCCACGTCTAGGGCGTCGAAGCGAAGGGTGGCCGGCAATCGCACGCGGTGACCGGTCGTCTTATCCCTCCGCGCCTCAATTATACCTCTGCACCATTCAAGGAGCATACAGACGGTGTCTCCTCCACCTCTAGTAATCATCGACGTCGCCGTCATCATCATCATCATCATTACTGACCACACAAGGCCGCTCTCTATCGTCACACGGCTATTGTCCGGCCGTGCTGGCGGGATCTTTCGATACGCGGCGTAGTCCATTGCCGGAATTGATAGTCCGACAACGAAGACTGCCCAGAAAGGTCGTACGGGGTCTTGCGGCGTCTTTTCCTGGTTCATGAGATCTACGAATTACTCGTTGATTGTCATTGGCTCATTCGAGGTCATCCATGGTCAATTGTCAGGTCATTTTGGTCAAGTCAATCATATACACACTCTGAAGGAGGAAATTCTCACCCGATGAAGTCTAAAGTAGAGGCCACACGCGTTACAAACGAGTTTGCCGGCCATGTCCCGCCGCCATGCCGTCGTCTTTGTCGTCATACAATTACTGCAACGTGACACTGACGCGTTCGGATCTTCATCCTCGAATTTCTGAAATATAGAAAATATTTTTGAGAACAAAAAGGCTAAAGGGGTTGAAATGGGGTAAGTCATCCAGAAAAAACCGTGGCACCCGATTACCGCGCCAAATGTTCACGATAGCGCAACCACTGCGGGCCACCGTGCGATACCGTACCCGTCATCTTATCAGACTATCTTCGCGCGGTGATTAGCCAAAAGGTGACACCGAAAACGTGTAATCGCCGCTATCATTGGACACACCGGCGGGCGACGACAAGACGCCACGCATCGGCGCTGATCGTTATCAGTTACATCGATGACACATGATCGCCGTGAAAAAATGGGTACTTTCTGCACTTGCGGACATCACTGTACAGTGTAAGTGGAATTTTTGAACGGTTACCCTTCCTCCCTCACCCTTCTCTCCTGCAGCCCTTCCTTCCTATAGTCTATTGGCCAATGAACTTCACAATAGCGCGGCAACGTCATTTCTTATTAGGGGCACGAGTGCCAAGGCCAGGGTCTGGGAAATTCTGAACTTCTGGTCAAATCAGCCTTCTGAACAATAATGAGCCCGATATAGATGCATCCGCTCGTTCAGTACAGAGAAAATGACCTTAGTGGTCAAATTTGGCCACTCAGGACAGAATTCTAATAAACCCTACACCTTCAGTTCGAACCCTAGTAATCAACTCCACAACCTTCTATAGATTGGCTTCCAGAACTTTATCGCACTCCCTACCCTCTACGTCAACCTTCCCCTGCACTGTTCTGTCTAGAATTAGCTGAACCCCCAAACTCCTCCAATACCCCCTTTGGAGACACCAGTTTTGCTTTCAAAAAGTCCCTGATCGATAATCGATCCCCCAGAAAACTCGCCAAAAATCGAACGATAGGCATTAAGCCCTTAAACACGGCTTAGACTTCCTTTCAATCCGAATGGTTTCCTGCGCGCTGAATTTCTTTCTTTCGTTCGCTTGGGCGACGAAAAACGTAAAAAAAAAGTCGTCCATCAGACTGTTGCGAGTAAAAGGACGCCGCCGTTACGAACAATGCACATAAAATGACGTCCGAAAAAAGCTCACAACGGGACCCCGACAATGATATGATATTGCTGGGAAGCGCGCGTTTTTCTACTGGTCCCTACGATCATTTTCTCACAACACCAGGTGAAACTACCGCGACCAGGTGCAAAAGGTAATCGTGGGAACGCAAAACACTCTCACCTCCTTGAACTGATGCTGTAAG